CACACACACACACACACCAATAGTCAATATTGGTAAACTAAAAGACTGTGGGCCCTTTCAATCCCAAAAAAAGGTGGCAGATTGGAAAAAAAGGTTGTGAGCAAAAAAGAAGTTTAAATATTTACATACACAGTTCAAAGTAACTTAATAAACTCAAAAAAATAAAGCAAAAAGAGACAGGGACATAAAATTGTGCAAATCACTACTGAAAACATTTTGTGATTTCCATTGTTAAGAATTTATGGCTCTTTTGAGCAAAATCTACAAAGTTATTATGTTGAATAAAGGCCTAAAACATGTTGTCTTGGTTCCTGAAACTCTGATATGTTGCCGGTGTTCATTGCTATTCAATTCAATTTGATATATATAATATATAATATAACATGAGATTAACATTAAATATGACCATGAATATGAATTGTGAACCTGTAGGTTTGACCTTTAACTTCTCTTTCTCCTAAAAGTCTACAAGACAACTCCTCTTTAGCTCCTGGTGTATTATTTGTTGCATGAATGCATGGCTGCTCTGCTTTCTCAATAGTTTTGTGTCCCATCATATATAAAGTGATGTTTATTAAAGTCACAGTAGAGAGCAGGCCATTCCTCGCATCAAAAAATGCAATTTCCTGTTGGAGAAGCGGTGAACAGGAGTCCAGGCCTACAGAATCAAAAGCGATGTGTGAGCAGATAGAAGAGGCAGAAAATACATCAACAGATTTGATCATCTGTGTTGTTGGTTACAAACAAACCACTCACAAAGAACAGGAGGAAGCAAGGAAAGGAGAGGCCTTTTAGTCAAGAAAGAAGTGTGGCAAGAAAACAGACCACACTGTATATTCACTCCTACGAGTCTAACTACTGTTTGTCTGTATACAAAGTGTGTCAAAGTAAAGTGTCCACTGCCGTCCAAAAACACACATATGCATCACCTCAGTTTAGGCATGTGTTGAGCAGTGGAGGAGAGTGATGCCACAGAGGGCTGAAATATTCAGGGTTTTTTCCCTCATGTTCTGTCCATCTTCCTGATGTTCTGGTACTGTTGCAGATGGATGGCATTCCCAGGTGGACGACTCATGTCGTGGTGACATCAGATTTTGCTGGTGGCTCCAGACTCTCAGCAACTTCTCCCAGCTCATCCAGCAACTCTGTGAACGCAGGTCGCCTGAAAGACTCCACCTTAGGTTGGAGTAGAGAACAGAGAGGCTGTGTCACTAGTTTCACTCAGTGGCTCCACAAGTATTCAAATTCTTTACTTAAGTAAAAGTAAGCAGTACCACAATGTAAAATACTGATTTGCTTTACTTACTAAACCTCACTTACCAGTGTTAGGTAGTAAGTAATTACATGTAATTGGAATTTCATAATCAGATTACCAAAAATAAATTATTATAATCAGCTCAGTTATTCAGAGTTCCCAGTCTTTTCAACAAATAAATATCCAGGACCTTTTCCAGGAGTTTCTCTTGACAATACAGTTTCGGGGAAATTGACTACATTAATTTGGTCAAGCCCATCAGTAACAGTTCTAATTAAGTGAATTTATTTTATTTTACAGAAAATTAATCTTTTAAAAAGAGTATTAATTGCGCAACAAGAAATTTGATGTTGTATGCATGTAGATATGAGAATTTCGCTCAGAGTTAGCCCGCGGCGTCTAAAGATAAAAACAGCTCATTCTAAGGTAACAAAAACACAACTATTTGTATTTCCAGGTGATTATACACTAATGAAAACATAGCTATGAATATTATATTACATTTCTGACAATAGAACCTCATAACCTCATTACATACTGTACCTTCAAAGAGAAAAAAGAATATTTGTGGAACGCAGTCACAAAGGTGTCCACATATTTTTTTCCACATCCATTTCTTTAGAATAAGGTCCAGTATTTCCTAAAGTAATCCTGAAGTAATCAGATTAGATTATATTTCCATTGTAATCCAATGGATTATGTTACTAATTAAAAAGTTACAATGTAATTTGTATTTATAATATTGCATTTCTATTATAACTGACTACCTTTCAAAGTAATCCAACCCAGCACTTAGTTACATATAAATAGATATACGAATACATAAGTCATCATATTTTAATTAAAGTATCAAAATGCAGAATGTTGTGCATGTGTGTGTCTGTGTGTAATATAGAATTTGATAATTATATTATTGTTACATTAATCAGTTATTAATGCATTAATGTTAGTAGCATTTTGGGGGTGGCTATTTTGAATTGACAGTTGGGGAGTTTATACAATTACAATGAAAAATAACATTCTTGAAAGTTTTACATTTTTATTAAGTAACTTTTAAACTTTAGAGTTGCTACAATTTGGGGACATTAAATTCTGCATATCACTACTGACACATTTTGTGATTTCCATTGTAGAGAATTTATGGCTCTTTTGAGCAAAATCTACAAAGTTATTATGTTTATACTCACTCATCGCTAATTATTATTTAATGACTAGTAGTTTTCTTCATTTGTTTTCACTTCATTAAACACAGCTATCTTTTAATATTTTGATTAATATTGCAAAGAAGTAACAATGCTGTAACCTTGGTTTTGTATTACTACTGTATTTTGTATTTGTAAATATTGGTCAACCTACCATGCAGCAGCTGGCTGATAACTCCAAAAGACGCTGAGGACAGTCAGACACCAGCTCTCTGAATGCAGTCACATCCAGTCCATAGTCCTGAAGTACATTAACATCGACAGTCACTTTAGTGCTGACACATTTCACTACACTCACCAAAGATCAGTGTGCTGTAACTGGTTCTATGGGCATCTGTGTCTTTTTCACAGCTTGGAATAAGTTGATAACAACACATGTTAACATAACTTACGCTGCTATTCACATGCTATGAGGATCAGTCAGCATCAGTCAATCAAACTAATAACTAACAGTATGATCTCCTGAAACAGTATGATCTCCTGAAATAGTCAGCAAGTGGAAAATCAGGGCTAAAATCAGGCAGTGTGAACTGAGCCTTAGGTCAAGTTCCATTCCCATGGGATATGGCTGAAAGCTCTGCAAAAATGCTAATGAGTGAACCATGTCTATTTAAGTATTCATGAGTATTTTACACATTAACAATGACAAACATTTGCTGGTTCCAGCTTCTAAAATGTGACGATTTGTTGTTTTCCTCAGTTTTATACTATTGTTTTGACTTAAGGTAACTCTATGATTGTTGTCTACTGTGATAATTAGGGATGTCCGATATTATCGG